GATCCCCCAACCAGATGATCTCCCACCCGGGGCAGCCCCACTTGCTGCATCTCCCACCCATGGTATTCCCCCCAAGATGATCTGTCACCCAGGTTTCCTTCCTAAGGCATCCCCCCACAAGGATTTTCTCCTAAGGCGACATACCCCTCCCAGGACATCCCCTCCCACAGGATCCCCCAGGTCATTCCTTCCCCAAGGCTCCACAACCCAGGACAACCCCCACAGGGATTCCCCTACACACAGCATCTCCACCCAGGGTGTCCCCCTCTCCAGGGCCTCCCCCACCCAGGGAATGCCCCTCCCCAGGGAATCCCCCCTCTCCAGGGCTTCCCCCACCCAAGGCTTCCCCCCACCCAGGGCTTCTCCCCACTCCCACCCAGGGCTCCCCCAACCCAGGGCTTCCCCCACACATAGATCTCCACCCAGGGCGTTCCCCCCAACCCTGCCAGGGCACCTCCCCGCCAGGGCCTCCAGGGCACATCAGCTCAGCAGCACCTCCTCAGTGAGGAGCCCCCCGCCCCAGCGCTGCAGGTTGGTGCCTGTGAATGGCTTTGATTGGCTCTGCTGGGTCCCAGGTGGGGAAGGGAGGGCAGGTGCTGTGGTCTGCAGCCCCCTGGAATCACACTTGGCGGCGGGGGGGCAGTGCCCCGCAGGAGAGTGGCTCATGGTTCTCAGAAAAAAGAATAAACAGAAACATCAGCTGTCCCTAAGTCTTACTTCCTGATGCTCGAATTAAGGCTATCCTGGGTTCCATGCTCCTCCTGTAACTGTGCAAGCACTATTTGTGAATTGTAATTTAACGTCTACATGTCCAAATGCATGACTTTCTTTGGAGAAGGAATATAAAAAAATCTTTCAAAAGAGTAGAAGCAAACAACAGCTTTCTGTCTGCATCGAACCAGCTGCCTCCTGCAGCCCCATCCGCTCAGAAAGCCAGGCTCCTCTTCTCCGTCATGGATGGGTGAGCCTCTCCTCAGAGGGCGTCGGTTGCGCTGTCATCGTTTAAAAGTCAGGTTCTGGCAGGGAAGGGACGTTTCTTACCTTTCCTTGAGCCCAGCAGTTAAGGCCACCAGCAGCCCTCTCCCTGTTGAGTGGGGCTCAGGGAAGGGGTTGGTGCGTTCCTCCAGCAGGCTCGCTGTCCCACGTCTGACTTCTTGGCACGATAAAAGGTGCCCATCCACGTGGGCTCCGAGTGATTGCTGAGCAAGCGTGGGGTCGCAGACAGCATTTCTCAGATCCTATAACCTGTAACCTGACACACTCACTTGTTTACAAATGTCCAGCGTGACCTCTGCCCAGAGAATGGCACCAACAGCCACACCTGCCAGGTGACCTCACACACCTGCTGCCTCCCTCTGGCCATCAGTCAATGGGGCCGGCACCAGCCAGCACCCCATACGGGGCATGGACGTGGCTTCAACCCCAGGCCTTGGCCCAAGTGCCCTCACATCTGTCACGGGCTCCCAGCACCCTTTGCCTCGTCAGGAAGCGTGTGACATGCCCTCCTGGCCCACAGAGGTGCGCGAGCTGTGCTCACCTCACCTTGGCTGTGGCAGCCACTCACTGTTCACCCGCTCACGCTGGCTCCTGCCCAGAAACAGACCAGGCCAGTCCCACCCCACTCAAAAGGCTGCTGGTGCCTGAGGGCCGGGGAGCCATGTCCAGGCCCCAGCCAGCCCAGACGGACCCAGCCTCTCCCCCTGAGCCCAGGACACCTGCATCTCCCACCCATGGTATCTCACAGGTGACCTGCCCACCATGGCTGCTTCTGGGGCATCCACCCTCCCTGTACACACCGGCCCCCCGCTTCTCCTAAGGCTGCCCAAGTGCCGGTTTCCTCTGCCCCTTGTTAGGGTGGCACCTCTGCCACGTCAGCTCCCGTCCTGCCGGCTGCTTGCTGCCCTCTCAGTGCCTGACGAACCTGGGCCGTGGATGGAGCCACTGGGGCGAAGCTCATGTCAGCCTCAGCTCCCAGCAGCCTCATTCCTGCCGCATTCCCCCGTGCTACGTGTCCCCAGGCCGCCTGCTGTGAGGGCCCCATGTGGCACTCGTCACAGCCCGTCTGTGGTTCTGGTGCCAGTCATTCTGGGCCGCCTCTTTGTGTTCCAGGAGCAGGACAGGGTCTCACTCACTGTCCCCATTTTCCCATTGAAGCACAAACCCCTGAGCACCGTGCTTTGGCCTTGGCATTGCCTGTGTTTTTCACGTTTAACCGGCAGCCAGGCAGCAGATGCTCTGCTGTGCCCGCTCACTTGTGTCAGTAGTGCGCGTGAGGGATCCGTCCCCGCCACGTCAAGGAGCCGCATGCACTGGTGCTCAGCGCTGCTCACACTCCCACTGGGAACCCCCACTGTCCCTCAGACCGCCGGACCGTCAGCCGGACCGTCAGCAGGTGTGCACCCGCGAGGTACCCCTGCTTGGCACCTAGGGATGAAGCTGTTGTGGGCGTTCCTGGGATGTTCTTTGGGGCACACGGCCAGGGGTCTCTGTTGCGTCAGTCTGGAAGTGGAGCCGTTGGGTCTGGGGTCCTCCGTGTCCTTACACTCATTAGCTGATGCCAAGCAGTTTCCCAAGGGTTTGACGCCGTTCGCACGGCGCCGCGGTTTCCTGCTGACCCACGTCCTGGCCGGCACCTGCCACTGTCAGTTTTGCAATGTCAGCCTTTTCTGAGGCTGTGTGGAAGCGTCTGATTTGCATTTTCCTGGTCATACTAACGAAGCTGAGTGCTCTCCACTGAGCACGGGGCACTTGGATACCCCGGTCCTGAGGGGCGTGTTCAAGCTGGCTGCCATTTGTGTATTCATTCTTACTGATCTGTGGAGGTTCTTTCTTTTT